ATATGCATAGTATTCTTTTGTTAATGCAGTATATAACCGTGGGAAATGTATTCAGTCTAACATCAAATCGAATGTTCAAACAGATATATTTTATGCAGTGTTGAAATGTGGGAATGTATGAGTATAATATTCCTTTGACAGACACAGTCTGTATCACACCACCGAAATACTATCAGATAAGTATTACCAAAGTGGGTTAAGAATAACAGGAATTTATTTTTTTTACACACAGAAAGGTGGGCGAGACGTGGTGTAATTATACAGACAACTATAGCCTCAACTGGCAAAGCTAAACTTTAAGCACCAGTAACTACCAATCAGCGAACGACCAATCACAAGAAAGAGGGACTTTTCATTTAGGAAAACGTATATTTATGGAAAAAAGCATGAAAACTGCATAAAACTGTTACATAGGGTATCTTTCCATGACATGTGACAGAAACATCTCCAGTTTAGCATAGGAAAGTCAATAGAAAAGTCACACCACATTCTGTAAATTTATTCATTCAAATAACTATAAATGAGATCCTTTTGAGATCCATTTATAACCCTAATCCTATTTTTCAGTCCTCCCCAAAATCCTTCTGTAGAATTGGGGTGTGTCCCCGTAATGAGATCCACAAAATCACTGGAATGGTTCACTCTCTGATGGATATATCCAAGAGATGACAGCAAGTTATAACCTTTCCATTCATAAGTATGTACTACAGATCCCTGTTTCACAAGTCGAGTGACAATAGGTGCTAAGGTAGTAGACTTTCTGTCTGGTATTCTCTCCATGAATCCTTTCCACAGGAAGGTGTCATATAAACCGATCACCCAAACATTGTTGGCATTCTCACGACCACGGTTGTATTTTTTCTTCAATAAGAAGTTTGGTCCAGGTGTACGACGATTTCATTTTTTTAAGTTTTATTTATTTTTGATTACAGCTTGATTCCACACTGTATTTATGGTGCAAGTATGGAATTTTCAGCATGGATATCGGTCGCCCAAATTTTGCAGGCCGACCATAGATATCAGGTATGCGTCGGCATGGGATCTAACCTCGGACCATGTGCATGTTCGGCGAGAGTCCTAACCACTGTGCCACCGGCGCGCACGACGATACCTTCTCCGCCTAGCAACGAAGTACTTCTCTCCATTTTCCATGAGACAGTATCTCTCCTTCCTAGGCAACCCCAAATCCAGGCAATACTGCAAAACCTTATCCTCATCTAACTGCAAGCGTAACTTCATTTGTTATGAATCAAGCTCTATACAACCGTGAACTCGCGTGCATGAACCTCATTGAAACATTTGAGGTCATTCGCTGATTGGTAGTTAGTGGTGCTTAAAGCTTAACTTGGCACCTCAGCTTATTTAAGATTCACATCAATTAAGCGTTTTGCTAGACATGAAGTTGGTACATTGCCATTTCAGTTTATTATTATCATCATCACATAAGCCTTGTCTTCTGATAACACCATGCAAATTTACTAAAGTGATTAAATATTTTGAATCTTAGACATTGTCGTTTGAATAGAAAAGATCATTTACACTGATTTGAAGGTGTCTTTTAAAGGCCTTTAAATGATTCATCAATAATCAATTCTGAAACTGACTGGAAAAAGAATATGGAACGAAAGTAGGACAGTAAATTGTGGAAATTACCAAAATAAGTCAAAAGTAATTTAAAAAGTGACTCAAAGACTTATTTCATTCATCAACTTAAGGAATGTGCTCTTATAGATAAGCTACTGTAAAACAGTCACTTCAAAATGGAGAGTATTTTTGTAATATTTTCTAATCTCAGTAACGAAAACACCTTTTTTGATGCATTTTAATAATACAATCAGTTGTAAAGTGATTTTCTAACTCTTAGAAACGCTGTAATTATTTCATGATAGACGTTCATTGACTAATTCAATCAGTCAGCTACTACTCACCAGTGTAAAGAAGATGGAGGTGTGTAGCCTTTGACAGGTTACTCTTCAATTTATAATCTATATGCATACCTTTAAACTTTCATATCAAACTGAAATTTATCGTCACCTGTAATATCCCTTCGTTACTATGTTGAGAGAAATAATAATTGTAACTATGGAGACGTATGTATGAAAAACTGATTGTACAGCTTTTGAGAATGCAGTCTCCGACAAAACATCCTTCCTTCGCTAGGTGTTCTTTCCTGTCTAATGTTTTGATGCGTATTTTTCATGATTTGAAGGAGAAGTTTGTTGAGATAGAATGACCAGTGTCAACAAGGTTTTCAAATTTTCACACTCTCTATAGAGTCACTAACTCTGGTTATTCAAACAGACAAGCCGGAGGCCTGTATAAAAAGGAGAAGTATTCAACTACCTGTACTATTATGATGATAACGAAGTTGTATTCCACTAAATGGTTCTTATCACATTACACAATGATACTGATGATTCATTTTCTCACACTTATTGCGGTATGACAACTTCTTCCCCCTTGTCTAATTTCCAATTAGTCACCACTTCCAGATTACACCTTACATTACGAAGTGCGTTTTCGATGACTAGTTTTACCAGTATCTGATTGGTCTTGTGAATTCTTTGTTAAATACAATTACGAGTTTGATCACGGATTGATATCAGTTAGAGAACCATTGAGAAACAGGGAGTACTGGATAGCTGTTTTATCTTAGTTTGGGAATCATTGGGAGTACGCACCCTTGAAAATTAATCTGATACTCGCTAGTGACCTGCTACAAGACGGAGTTTCCTGGAGTTCTAGTGAGAAGTCATGATCAGTTAGATCCATCCAGTCATGTGTGAAGATGGATGTCCCACTGATGACATTGGTAGGCGGTTGCACTAAATCACGAATTGGTCGAAGTTGAAATTCATGGTATGGCCACTGAATCTGGTCCCAGTGGCTGAACGGCATACAAGCTAGCTTGCCTAGTGACCGGAAAGTCCTGGGTTCAAACCCTGGTGGTGTGTGCGTACTGTCAATGGTACCCAAACTAGGCTGACGAAACAGTTGTCCAATACTCCCTGGTCTTCACTGGTTCTCTGACTGATATCGATCCCTGGTTTAACTCGAAAAACGAATCAAATACTTACAAACTAACGCTTGAAAATATAACTACAATTGTACAGCTTATGAAAATGAATCGTCGGAAAGAAAATTTCCTTCGCTGTTTACGTCTTTTCTTGTCATAACTTGATTTTGCTTAACTCTTTGTTACTCTTCTATTTCTTTCTAAATCTTGCGTAATATCACAATTTCCCTGGTTTCTATGGATATCCTGGTAATAGCTTATTCACTAGGTTAATTATGTAACTAAAAAATTCCCCCTGAGTCAGATAGAAGATGTTCAGGGAAGAGTTACTCTTTTTGGCGATATAACATTATATATATATAGAATTTTAAATTTCAATCAACGAATTGCGTAATTTAGAAAGCGTTATTCGGGTAGAAACTAAAATAAAATTTAGATAAAACAATAAGAAGACGTAATTTGTCTGAATCGTGTAATGTATTTGGGCAACACATTTCGAACAATCTGATCACACACGGACTTGTCATAGGAATATAAATGAAATTAATAAAGAGGTAAGAGGTGAGAAAAATAGACTTAGGTCAAGTTAAAAGGACATATTCAAGGTCAAAATAACAATGAAGGCCACTAAACCAAATAGCAGAGGTAATAGTACATCTGCTATGGTATCAAAACAAAATTTACCAAGGAAGGTTTAATGTGATGACAAATTGTTTTTGGATGCATAAAGGTGGCTTGAACTTTCTAATTACTAGGGCTTCTACAAACTTTAGGATACGCCCCAAACACGCTTTATAGATGGGTTTAAAAGATCTGTTAACATCAATTTTATGACCTGTCTCTATAATATGTTTCGCAATAGAAGAGCTAGGTCTCCTGTTCTCACCGTTAATAGGTTCTGATGATTCTATTTGTTTCTGGAGCCATTTTGGAATATGCTCTGAAGCCCTTACTTGCAGAGATCGATGAGTCCTCCCTATGTATGTGTGTCCACACTTACATTGAAATTGGTAAATACAGTGGGATATGACGTCATTTTTTGCATGTTCGAAGGGCTTAGATAGATATATTGGTTTTACATTCTCTAATATTATGATATTAGCTGCATAAAAAGTCTTTTTAACATCAACGTTCAATCTTTGTCTAGTTATCAAGCTGCTTTGATGTCCCATATAGGGTAGCTTGATGTACACGTCTTTCTTAGGGGCGAGTTGGAGAGTGGGTCTTGGTGTTCTGACTACTTTATGTCTCCTGATGAACTTGTCTGGATAATTGTTATCAACCAGAGTTTGTGTCAATATTCTTTCTTCTTCATCAAGCGTGTCTTCAGTGCATATTCGTCGGATTCTACTGAAGAGGCACCTTACTAAGCCTCTTTTGTACCGCACAGGGCAGAAACTGTGGTAATTAAGATACTGTCCTGTCCAGGTAGGTTTTCTATAAATAGATGCTTTTATTGACCCATCAAGCCGTCGACTAAGCAATATGTCTAGGAAAGATAAACGATTATCCTCCTCTTCTACAGATGTAAGTGATATGCTATTCTGAACTTCATTCATTCGATTTAAAATTGAGGTGGTAGAACAAGGCTTATCACTGATGGCTACGATATCATCTACATACCTTCTATAAAGTGGCACATTTTCGATTAAATCTTCCGATAAATTCTCAATGTACGACATATAAATATCTGCTAAAAGGGGCCCTAACGGACTGCCCATAGCAACACCATCAACTTGGCGGAAACAATCGCCTTCAAATGTAAACCTAACATTGTTAGTACATAGAAGTAATAAATCCCTTAAATAAGATATAGGGATCGGGATGAAAAAATTTTTTGTGGAAATATAATCACACAAAATGTCAACTGTTTTGATCAAAGGCATATTAGTAAATAACGAGTTTACATCGAAAGAGTACATATTCTTGTTCATAATATTAGTAATACTGTCATCAAGAACATCAACCAATTCAAATGTATATTTTAACACATACAGAATTGTGTTTTGACTGGATTTAATAATTCCACTAACCATTTAGCAAGTTTATGCGTTGGGGATTTGCACATTGACAATAGAGGACGTAGAAGATTATTGGGTTTATGTATTTTTGGCAACCCATACATATGTGGGAATTTACAATCTGATGGTTTTAATGAGTCAAGTTTATCTTTACTTATAGCATTTAGGCCATGAAGCTTCAGTAGATTAGCTGTCACCGTGCCCTGCAACAATTGAATATCTTCTGAGGAGGGATCACGACTTAATTTGCTCTTATCATCAAGAATAGACATCATTTTAGATTTGTAGTCACTTCATAATGACGACTCCAGAACATTTATCAGGTTTAGTAATAATTATATTAGAATTTTCCCGTAGCTCTTAATTGTTAGAATTCTAAGTTTTAGATAACAAATTTCGTTAATGGATTAAAAAATAAAGTAAGATCAAATAAGCAACTTGAGTGACGTAATCTAATTGACGGGGTTGAGTAGAGTTCAGCTAAAATCAAAATTGAACAAAAGTCAAGCTGACAACAGTGGAAATAAAGGGTAGAGATTTAATAAGGGGTGGGGAAAGAAAATACCATACAATTAAGAAACAAACAAGCAAGGAAAAGACGAAACAAAAATTATGCGTTTGGTGTTAAGATGGATCAGGTCCACTGTAGATTTAATGAGTGAACAAACTTACTTTTGTATGCAGAGTTCAGGATTTAACAGATGAATCACCATTGCTTGTGAGGTTTGAAAAATTTTGATTAGTACTCTTTTAGCGAAATTTCCACCTATTCTGTAGATGACTTTTTGAAGTTACTTTGTTGGTTGGCTTATTACTCCGATTCGATCACGTGTTCCAGAATAGAGTTTTGAGGAGGCGTTTTTCTCCTTTTTAAAACCATGAGGGTAAGTGTTCCATGCTACGTTTGGATAGCAGACACTGTGGTACGGCTGGCATACCCGCTCGACACGAGCAGATGAATTGGTAGATGCACATTGATAAGGTCAGCAGTAGTAGCTTATCCTTCACTTTCATGCTAATCATTGGTTCCGTAGTGAAGGCTAATGGGAGTTAAGCCGCGAAGAAGGTTTTCTTCAGTCAGCGGGACAGTTGGTTTCTCAGTATTTCTGCTGATGGATCCCCATTGAAATTTAGGTTCAGATAAAGACGTTTTTCGGGAGCAGAGAATGTGAACAGTTTTGGTGGTTTATGTTTCATAGATTTTGAGATAAAACGTTATGGGAAGACTCTCTTCAGAGGCTTTAACTCCCCGCCTATAATATCAAGGCAGAAAATACTGCGAATTCTGCAGCTTATTGAACGGATAAGGTTTTGTTTTGTGTATGGGGGCACCCAACTGTGAAAGTTAGTAAGTTGTCCATTCCATTTTGGCTTTCTGTAGATGGATCTTTTTAATGTTCCATCTTGTTCACGTCTTGTTAATTGGACCTGCAGAAAAGATATTTTTGTGTTGGATTCCTATTCTAGTGTCAACTGAATTGCTGGACGGCAGCTATTGAAGTAGTCCAAGATGTTATCAAAATTCTCCTCATTGTTGAAGATAATGAAGGTGTCATCCACGTTTCTCTTGTAGAATCCAAAGTTATCAATCATTTTCTTTAGATGCATGTTTATGTTATTGCATAATTTCAACACTCTCATTCACTCCTCCTTTATGTATTGATTAGTATTAGCAGCTTTGATTGTTTGCAGGATAATAGGAGATCGTTTTATTTGATCGATTCTCTCTAACTGCCTACATCCATCCTAAATAAATCAAATATAGGTTACAAAATGGTGCCTGAACATACTTTTTACAATGACGTCAAGTTATACATAGAAACTATAAGTAACATAATTTCGAAGATGATGTAAGTAGACAATTATTTTGTGTTTTAAAAGAGTAACTAAATACAGTTATTAGATAAGTGGGTAGATTTCAGATTTCGCTTGGAAACACGGACAGAATAAACACAAAATACAAGATAGAACAACAGAGTTAATTTTTACATATTATAGTGGAGAAGATTTCAGGAGGGGGGGGTTAAATAGGGAGGTCAATGTGTAAACTAGATAAAATGATTCAATTTAGTAGATTCGGAACCTTGATAGTCAGTTCAACTCAGTGAGTGAAAATCAAAATGAAGATTGAGTGGAATGTTACTCAACGGAACAAAAGAAAAAAACACACGAACAAAACAGTTCAGTTATGTTGACTAGGATAGTGAGAGATTAGTCATACTCTATTTGTTTATGCATAGGTTGAGTGGAAGTCTTTTGAATAGAATGGCTTTTTCGAAGCGAAGTAAGCATGCTTTTCTTTGTGTATTGATTATTTTGAAAGCCTGACTAATCTTCACTGTATATCCCATGCCAATTAAGTGTTTGACAATTGCACTTGAGAACATTTTGCTACATCTGATAGGGAGAGACTTTTAGGGATGTGCTCAGAGAATCTAACATATGTTCTCCTCTCAGTCTGCACGTGTAGGTGAATTGGTAAATGCAGTTGGAGTAGTTGACATGCGGAGCAGGATAGTTATCTACTTTTGATCGTGTTAACGAGAATACTGTGTTGCAAAGTGGAATGAGTCTAGAGGCGGAAAATGCTTATTTCCACTGCACCTTGAATTATCTTCTCCGTTCTCATGGATAATTTTTCGCCCTTGTATGCTAGACATATAAAAACGGGTTTCTTTTCAACTATTTCGGGTTTCGTTCTAGGCGATTTTTCCTTCCCATATTTTGATATGCACTTCCGAGGGTATCCATTTTCGATAAGGTTCTTTTTGATGACTGCAAGTTCCTTTTCTACCTTATCTTCCGAGGAAAGCACCCTAGCTGTGCTGACGAGCGCTTTCATCAAGCTCCGTTTGTAGCTAACTGGCCGAAAGCTATGATAAATCAAGTAATGATCAGTTAAAGTTTCTTCCCTATAGATGGATTTTTCAACTGTCCCACCATTTCTTCTTTTTATGTTGAGATCTAGGAAGTAGAACTGTTTGTCATGTTTATGGTCCATTGTAAATGTTATGTGATGGTGAGCCACAGTGAGGTTTTCGAACATTGTGAGTGCATGATGCATATTGTAGCAAACCGCAGATGTGTTGACAACACATCTGCAGAAATATGTGGTCCTCTCTGTCTCTGGCTACTTTCGTATCTGTTCAGGATTAGCCATGAATACGTCCACAAGAACATAACCCAAAGGTGAACTCATAGCCACTCCATCAATTTGCCGCTACACCCGGTTGTCGAATCGGAACTGAACGTTCTTTGTACAAAGAAGTAGTAATTTTCGCATCTCCCTTTTAGGAAGAGGAAATAGTTCGGATTACTGGTATATAGTTCTCACTGCCTCTTCAGCAGGCATCCTAGTACAGAGTGAACAACATATCGTATGATACCAGAGGTTTTCTGAAATGATCAGTTGGTCTCATTCTTGTGATTCCATTATGGGTAAATTATGTTTTGAGAAAGTCTCACAGTGTTATACAGTAATGTTCACTGATGACGTTTCGAGCACAATTTATTGCTCATAATTATATCCATAATATCATAATTCTTGTGACACTTGATAGGAGCCCTTGATACTGTGGACTGCCAAACTTTGTCGAATTGGTTCTAACTTTTGTGACAGCCCCCTAGCCAGTTTACCGCATGGTGATTTCACTACTGACATTATAGGTCTCAATGGCAATCAAGTTTGGGGAGTTTATTATTATTATTCCCTTGGGTTCCTAGTGGAACATAGGGCTTCAACTGCACGTCTCCATTTTCTTCTGTCTTCTGCTATACTTTTCGCTTGCATCCATGTGAATCCATATTCTTTCAACTCCTCTTCACACGATTTCCTCCATGTCACCCTTGGACGTCCCACACGCCGCTTCCCTTTCGGGTTCCACTCGAGGGCTTGACGTGCGATGTCACCCAGCGGTCTCCTCAGCGAGTGTCCGATCCATCTCCACTTTCTCCTGCATATTTGTTGGGCGATTGGTTCTTGCTTTGTTTGTTCCCATAATTCCTTGTTGGTGACTCTTTCCGGCCCGGCCATCTGATATTCAGTATAGAGCGAAGACAGTTGTTAATAAAGGTCTGCAGGCTTTTGGAAATATACTTTGTGACCCGCCAAGTTTCTGATCCGTATAGAAGAACTGACTTTACGTTTGTATTGAAAATCCAACAGAATTTTGTTGTTGATGCTGAATGACGAAGATTTCCAGATTGATTTCAGGCTGATGAATGTGTTTCTCGCCTTCCCTATTCTCGCTCGATTTGACATCCTCGTCCGTTCCTCCTGTAGTTGAGACAATGCTCCCTAGATAAGTGAGTGAATGAAGTAACCTCTTTCAAATCCCTCCCGTTGATGGTGATTGTCGTTGGATGTTGCTGATGCTGCTGTTGTTGGTTGGTTATTTTCATAACCTCCATCTTGTCTATGTTAACCTGGAGTCCTGTCTTCTCTGGCTGCTTCTTCGACCAGTTTGTCGGTCGATTTTCGCTTGTAAGTCTTCGATTTTGTGGCAGTGACATCAAACATAAATCATCCACGCGCGAAATCCAGGTCTTCTAGGTTCTTCACGTCGGTCCAGGATATCCCTGTCTGCTCGTTTCCCACAGTCTGACGCATAATCCAGTCCACCACAATTAAAAGTATCATTGGTGATAGTAAGCAACCTTGTCTGACTCCTGTGTTTACTCCAAACGCCTCGCTGAGTCTTCCATTGTGGATCACTTGGCAGTTGCCGTTGTCGTACAGCTGTTGAATAAGACTGATGAATATTTGGGGCACGCCGTAGTACTCGAGTAGTTTCCAAATTACTTCACGATCAACGCTGTCGAAGGCCTTCTCGAAGTCTATAGAGTTGAGGTAGAGGTTTGATTGCCATTCTATGCTTTGTTCGATGATGCGTAGAGTTGCAATTTGGTCAGAACATGATTTGTCTTTCCTGAATCCAGCTTGTTCTGGTCGGAGTTCTGTCTCCAGTTCGTCCTTAATTCTCTCCAGGATGATGCGACTCAGGATTTTACTTGGCGTCGGCAGGAACATGATTTCTTGCCAGTTCTTGTAGAGTCCTAAGTCGCCCTTCTTTGGTAGTTTCACGAGGTAACCTTTCCTCCAGTCAGTAGGCACCTTTCCCTCCTTCCAGACCTTTTGCAATAGTGGAGTCAGCATATGTGTTGTCGTCTCTGGGTCCACTTTTATTACTTTAAGGGGTATTCCATCTGGTCCAACTGCTTTTCCAGATTTCAGAAGCTTGATTGCATTCAAGACTCCAGCTCTCGTTGGAGGATT